TGTTCTGTGCTTTCTAGTAGACTTCAACTTCTCTTGACCCCATTGTAGGGTTTTCCTGGCAAGATTTACTAAGAGGGATGTTGTCTTTGCCTTCCTCTAAGGCTGAGAGAGTGTACCTTGCCCAAGGTCATCACCCAGTGAGTTTCCATGGCTGAACTTGAATGTGAATCCTGGTCTCTCTTAAGGGCTGCATCCACACTGCAGAAATAATCCAGGTTGACACCATTTTAATGGCCATGGCTCCATGGTATGAAATCCTGGGATTTGTAGTTTGTTGTGGCACCAGGGCTCTCTGACAGAGAAGGCTAAGTGTCTCACAAAACTGCAATTCCCAGAATTCCATTGCATTGAGCCATGACAGTTAAAGTGGTGTGAAACTGTATTATTGCTGCAGTGTGGATGCAGCCAAGGTCCTAGTCCAACGCTCGAACTACTACACCATGCTAACCCTTACAAATAGGGTTTTCTTGGTAAGATCTCTTTAGGGGAGGTTTGCCCTTGCCTGCCTCTGAGGCTGAGAGAGTGTGACTTGCCCAAAGGCACCCAGTGGGTTTCCATGGATGAGAAGGGATTTGAATCCTGATCTCCTGGAGTTGTAGTCCAACATTCAAACCACTGCACCACACTGGCTCACAGCCTCACTACAAAGCGAAACATAACTTTATAGGGGTTACTACATTAAATATTTCAATAAAAAAAAGATACTGCTCTAACCAGTTTTACCATGTTGGCGTATTTAACGTGTTTTTAGCTTTTAAAACTCACTTCTGTTCTTTAGAGTGCTTTAAATTGGTCAATTGGATTTTATCGTGCATCACCCTGGGATATTTAGATGTAGGCGTAGGAAATAAACATTTCAGTGCATAACATAAATAAATGCATTGCTTGCTAACTCTTCCTTTCCCAAACTTTGGGGAAGAATTGGCATGCAGGAAAAAGAGTCGGCTGTTTGGGGCCAACTCTGGAAGGCAGGCATTGTGCCTCTAGGCATCATTTCTTCCCTCTGCATGTGGTAGTAAATAATGCATTGCATCTCCTCTGACTGTGCTCCAGACATGATTAAAAAATAAAATAAAATTCAAGGACAAGGGAATGACAAAGCTGGTTCGGAAGGTGAGACATAGCCATGGCCTGCTGAGGGTTATTTTCTTCTTCGCAGTTGTCTCCACGCCTCACAGCCATGGTCAACAATTGTTAGTGGCCACAGTTTCTATCGCATTGTTCCTCTCCCTGGGAATGGAGTGGAAAGAGAGGCAAGGAACCCGTGTCTGGCTTCTAAAAGTTTCAAGCAGCTGAGCTTTATGGAGAAGATGGAAATGACATCCATGCTCAGCCCCCATGTTCGGTGATGTGTGCAAACAAATAGGTGATGTGTGCAAACTTGCACACTTTCAAACTAGAAAATGAAGACATAGAAGTAGTAAAAGGATTCCCATACCTGGGATCAAACATGGGTAGAAATGAGGACTGCAGTCAGGAAATGAGAAGAAGACTAAGAATGGGGAGGGAGGCTATGAAAGAGTTAGAGAAGATCCTAAAATGCAAAGATATACAACTCAGCACAAAAGTCAGAATCATCCAAGCCATTGTATTCCCTATTTCCATGTATGTGGATGTGAGAGCTGGACAGTCAAGAAAGAGGGTAGGAAGAAAATCAATGTATTTGAGAGAATGTGTTTCTGGAGAAGAGTGCGGAGGATCCCATGGACAGATAGCCAAAAGGACAAACAAGTGGGTCCTCGAGCAGATCAAGCTGGCAACCTCCTTGGAAGAAGCCCAGATGACCAAATTGAGGCTGTTGTAGTTTGGACACATCATGAGAAGGGAGGACTTTTTGGAAAAAAACAATAATGCTGGGAAAGGTGGAGGGAAGGAGGAAGGCCACAGGACAGATGGAGGGACTCTATTATGAAGGAGATCACTTTGGGGATTAAGGGTTTGCAGGAATTCAGCAGATCAGTGGAGGACAGAGGGTCTTCTTGGAGAGGTCTCATCCAGAGGGTTGCCATGAGTTGAGATCAATTCGAGAGCAGTTAACAAATCCAGATTGAGAAATGTAATGGTACTACTTTATTTTCCTTTGGTTGGACCTCATCTGGAATATTGTGTCTGGTTCTGGGTACCACTATTCAACAGGGATATTGATAAGTTGGATCATTCTTCTTCCCAGGCATGCAAATGCCACAAAATCTGGTGTCATCACAACAGAGGTGAGACCTGCTTTTGCATGGGGTTGTTGCTTGCATGTAAGATAGGACAACTGTGTTGGGGATAGAGGGCCATTGTCCTTGCAACTCCCCCTCCCCACATTGCTCAGGTGTGTCCAAATAGCTGCTTTCCCCTTCAAAATAGCAACCCAAAGCAAGGTTGCATTACTTCCTGCCATCATTTTGGAGGAGAAACAGCTAAAATAAGGATTTTGTGGATTTTGTGGGGATTATTGGGTGTGTGTGTGGGCATTTGGGGGACCTAGGACAAAGCTGAACATGTGAGGGGGCAAAAATGTGGTTTGGCCTCGTCTTTCCCTACTCCAGAGGTAAGGGCTTTGGATTCAAGGGCAGACTGGGTCTACCTTTTGGGTGTAAACCCCCCCCCGAGGTTTTCCCATAAAAATCCATTGACATCACTCCACATAGTGCCACAGACCAGAGCTTCAACATTGTTTTTCCTGGTGGATTTTCTAGAACATTACAGAAAATCAATGGCCCTGCAGAGGCATGAAATAAGATAATTTTCTGACACTGACTCGAACCTCTATTGCAAATTTATTGGGAACGCTTCTTATGAGACAGAAAATAACACGAATTATATACAGTTTGGTAACTCAGGCTCACAGGATATTAAGTTCGCTTAAGGAAGATTAGTTACCCCTTAACACTCTTCTAACTGCGCCTTTTGTTAAAGAGAAGATGGATTTCTTCACTCCTGTGATGGGTGTGTTGTGGTGCATCTTCATAAATCCATATTAGATCTTCAGGGTGCTGCATCAGACTTGCTTTCCTCTATATGTGGCAAGAGCTGGACACAGGGAAATCCAACCATTGAAGGAGCTGTCCATGGTGCTGAACTTGTTTTGCCCATAACATCCAGCAGCATTCAGGCTAAAACCCAGGAGAGAGTCCCAATCTCACTGGCTATGCTTCACCCCAATTTTTGCAAGCAACACATATGAGTGTAGATTGTTTGATGTGATGCTGTGAGATTTCTGTGAGGCCCACACCCTTTCATAGGGGTGGAAAGAATAGTGGAAATAATTTTAAAAAATCTTTTGTAAGTGTTAAAGAGAACCTGGTGAGAAGAATCTTGGACTAACAAGAATCTTCACAGTTCAGGACTTATTCTGTGCAAAATTTGCATGTGATTGTTTTGTGCAGAAAACAGCATTTTCTGGGCAGAAAATAATAGTTGGTATTCTGCACCCATGGATTCTAAGCATCCACAGCATGAAAATATTATGTATAGTCATTTTATACAAGGGATACCATTTTACTATCCATTGGGTTTAATGGGGCTTGGACATCCATGGAGTTTGGTATCCATGGGGGAGTTCGGGAATGAATCCCCAGTGGATAGCAAGATCCCACTGTATTTCTAATATTTTCTGTAAAGAAAATCATCATTTTCATATATCCCACCTTTCTCCCAATATAGGGACTACTGTAACTGGAGACTTAATTCTGTCCAAAATTTGCTGTCTTCCATGCAATACAACCTTGTACACATTTTGTCCTGAATTGCAAATAGACTTCGGAAAACTAAGTAGTTTTCAAAAACTTTCTCATCACAAGGAGGAAGAAACTCACTTTCCTGAAGTTTAGTCAGGCTCTTTATAACAGGAGAGCTGCCAGTAAGAGCAGAAGGCCAGATAGACAAATAATTCAACCTGGTTGTAATGGATCAGTGCTTGATGAGGGTCCCCACACCAAAATATATTTGAGGGGCAATCTTGGCATGACAAAGCCATTGGTGTGAAAGAAGACTCTATTAGTGATTGATGGAGGCAGCAAGTGGTTTACAGCAAAGAAGATCTGGCATGCCCTTGGGCTGATAGAAGCCAGAATTCATTGCAACTTTGGTGGGCCAGGCTTGCAAAGCTTCTGCAGGCTGAGAGCACGCTTCTGTACCTCCTGGGGGCAAGATCAAAGGGATAGTTAAGACCAAGAAACTTATATGGCAGAGATTTATTATACAAAAGATTCCCTACCTTTTTCTCTCTCCATTTCAGAGACTTTGAGAACAAAAAAGCCACTCAGTTACAGTAAAATCACCCCATATTTCCCACATCTAGACTAAAATGTGGGGCATGTAGTCTCTGATGCTCACAGATCATAGGAAAGCAGGTGATCTCATGTTTTGATCTCTTGGGATAATCTGCCAGGAGAGCCAATGTGACGTCGTGATTTGACTGTTGGACTATGACTCTGGAGACCGGGGTTCGAATCCACCCTTGGAAATCCACTTGGCGATGTTGGGTAAGTCACACTCAGTCCCAGGAAACCCCATGATAGGTTTGTCTAGGGTTGCCATGAGTCAGAAATGACTTGGAAGGCACACAACAAGAACAACAACAGCAATGAGCAGTAAGTCCTAAATATCCCTTCCATGCCAGCCTGGAGTTGTGCGATAGTATTCTGTGAACCGGACAGATACATACCCAGTACTGTCTCTTTTGGAGGCAAATCCCACATCTAGTATGCAGGTCTAAGATGTTTTTCTTTCTCATCACATTCCAAAAAAGGGTCCTTTGGACATGGAAGCAAAATGTTTTTGCAAAAAAAAAGTGTGAGTCTTGGAGGCTAGATAAATGATGCTAAATGTATGCCTGTGACCTTTATTTGTAGAATGGGGTTGGGTTGCTGATACAGGGGTTGCACACATTTTGGCATCCACTATCTCTCCACCTCTGCTTGGAGCCCATATCTTGGCAGATTAATTACCTGCTTTGTTGCATTGGGCAAAATAAATGCAGTTGGTTTGTTGTTTTAAAAAGAGGATATAGGAGTGGGCAAAGCCCATTCTTTTCGAAGTAAAACAAGACTCTCCAGTAAGTAGCAAACTGACATGTAAATTCACCTTCTGTGCATCAAACGGAAAGATAAAATCGGCTTGTCAGAAATTCTTACTAGCCACAAGGAATAATCCTTTGGATTGAAGAGATACTGGCCTGTTTCTTTCAACCTTCAAATATCCCTCTTTATCTGGGTCTTTCTACCTAGGCTCGGACTTATCTCTCTCTTGCATCAGCCTAAAGCTTCCTTGAAGTTAGTGCTTTACACCTTTTATATGCATAAGAGGCAAAGTAACCTCTGATATCGCACCGTGAATATCGGGCTTTCTTGGTACAGCGGTTCTTCTTTTTCCATTTTAGACCATCATCTGCACTGAATATCATGGCTGACAGTGTCAAGCAGGACTTTAGTTCAGCTTGATAACTGCAGAACCTGGATCGCTTCAAGCATATGAGCAATGAGTCCTTGAACTTCTTGAATGCACCTCTCTTTAACTCTTTAACCACTTTAACTGTCTGTCCTATGGACTGTTGGGATTTGTAGTTTGTAGTGGTGCCAGAGCTCTCTGACAAAGAAAGCTAAACATCATACAAAACTACCAATCCGAGACTTCCATAGCAT